GGTGCGGGGGGGGGGGGGGGTGCTCTGTGTGTGTCACGCAGGAAGAAAACTGAACCTCGTATGTTGTTTATTTTTCCTCCATTGCGGTAGTAGAGGTCTGACCATCACCTTTCTAGGCAGCTTTGTGAATCCAAGAGGTTGGTAGTGCTCTTGCTCATGCTTAAAGCTGGCATTGCCTGTGAATAGTGATGCTTTGGCCAGTCACGCAGCATCGTATGCCCGTTTTGTGTCAATCATGCAATGGCTTTTGCAAGTACTCCAGCAGAATTGGAGCGAGCAGACGTTGACTGTCCAGTGACTAGGAGAAGTTCATGTTTCTTTGAGAAGGTGCTGGATGGTCCTAACCATTAAAAGAGTTTATTTTCTTACTCCAACAGATTTCCCCTCCCCTCCTTGATGTTACCAAATTTATCATCACTTTTGTCTTTCAGGTGTAACCTGTCTTTAGTGTTGCAGACACATCAGCCAACCATGTATTAAGAACTGGGCCCTTACTTTAATTCAGTATAATTTTCTTTTTGTCCAATAACTTCACAAGCACTAATCCACACTTCAAATGCAGGAGATACTTTGATCCCCAAATTGTTCAGCACTTCATGCGGGAAAAACCGTAGGCCACAGTCATGAAACTCCTAGAGGATGGCTGCTGGCTTCCTGTGGCAGAGCTGGTTATTGTTTTCCCCCCTCTCCCTTCTTTGCTCTAACCATTTTGTCTGTCTAGCTTGTCTTGTATTCAGTTTTCAAAGCAATTGCCATGAAGGGCTTCCTTTTTTTAGCGCCTAAAAGGGAACAATAGATTTTTAGAATAAGCATATATATATTTTCTATAACCGTCTGTATATGTATATCACATCAATCACATCTATACTCTAATATAACATGCTGAGAAGTTCAATCTAAACAGAAATTAATTTTTTTCATTGTTATTTTTTATGAAAAGGTCTTTAAATGTATCCTTAAATGCACATGACATTTAAATTATTCTAGTGCTGGATTCCTGAAAAATAGATGACCTTTTCTCTTGAAATTGGAGAGTGGTTTTTCCTTAACAGTTACATTATCCACAGAAGATGAGACGTTAACCAAGATGTTAAAATGTATTGTTTCCCTTTGAAAGCTAATCCCGTTCCTCATTTTCATTAATGTTGGCTCGTACATTTTTTTCTTTTTATTTCTTTTCTTTTCTTTTATTTCTTTTCCTTTCCTTTTCTTTTGCAACTGTTTTTGCATGAAAATGCAGAGTAGCAATAAACAGATTTTTTGTAAGGCTTGCTTTAAGACTCTTCTCTTTCAGATCCAGTTAAAGTTTTGTTCAGTTATTTTAAAATTCATATTCTTCAGTTCCGTAAACAAAAGTAATGGAGAAATGTAATGAGGTGCAAAGCGATTTTCTAGCCCTCACTAATCAGTAAATACCAACAAAATGGGGATGGTGTAATGTCCGTAAGTTAATTGTCTGCTGTTACCAGGTCACCACGGGACAGTAGCAGAAGCGGGGAGAAGCTGGAATTGGCCATGTCCAACCTCACTGCGGATGTCCTGGAATTACTCCTGGAGTTTGTTTATACAGGTTCTCTGATCATAGATTCAGCCAATGCAAAAACCCTACTGGAAGCTGCCAGCAAGTTCCAGTTTCATACTTTCTGTAAAGTCTGCGTTTCGTTTCTAGGTAAGAACCACTCCATCTAGGGAGGTTTTAAGATCTCGGTTTAAGGTTTGTAAGCCTTTCTTTTAACAACACTTAATTAGAAACAGCAAGATTAAATGTAATGAAAGAATATTAGAAATTGTTTGTTTGGGTTGAGACTTAAATTTAAAATGCTGACACAGTGGCCAGTGGAAAATGATCTAGGGAAGTGTAGCTTGTTGTTTGAGTGGCACCTGCCTTCATGTCTTGGATAGACCATTTTTTTGAATCTCATTTCATACTTGGTATCACGATGACATTTTGTTTCTCAAAGGCTGATCTCTGCACAGATACCAGGCTGTAACACAGAGGTTGCTTATAACCATGACAGCAAATGTTGGGTGCCACACAAGGCCAGCATGGCCAAGCACCGAAAGAGCTGGAGGTGGACACCCACAGAGGAGTCAGGATCTGCAAGTTTCTTGCATCCATGAGAAACTCCTTCACATGTCCAACGTTCCTTTAAACCAGATCTAGTTAAACTCCTCTTGGTGCACAGGGTTTATTTCATACAGAGTTATGGTCTGATGTATATGTGTCATTAAAAAGTTGGGTGTGAATGAAAGGTTGCTGTGCCCACCGCTGATAAGTGATGTGCCTTGCTGTCATGGGAAGCATTTGCCCCAGCAAGGGTGTACAGACCAGCATCATTCATTGCCAGTGCCTCTGTCAATCCTCTCATGGCCATGAGAAACCCCTTCTTGTCTGGAGCACCATGTCATCCTGCTCCTTTCACTTTCCATGTATTTTCCAGCATAGACTATTTCAAAACAGCCCAAAGTTTCCAGCTCAGTTCACTAAACTTTATTGGTTTAGTGACCTAGAACCAGCCAGCCCCATTTCTGTCATGGCAAGAGAGGAGCCAGAACTGGAGCTCAACTGGAACATGTTGGTTTAAATTCCTGCCTGTATCCCAAGTCACTCCTTCACTAACTTTGCTGTAATATCAGTTATTGAGACAGTAATAATTTACAAATTATTAACACAAACTTCCTAATACAAAAAGTGTGAGCTTGCTTTTGTATGACCTACTTCCCCTGTCCACATTCCAAATATCTTTCTTTTTTGATGTGACATTTCTACTCAGGCTTCCTTGACTCCTAGCTTGGTATGGGAGATATTCTCTCTGGAGCCCAAATGAACTGGAGGTTCTTCCTGGGCAATTCTCATTTAAAATTGACATCTACAATTGCAGAGTGTGGAAGAACAGAGTTTAGAAAATGTTGCACTCATTTAAAGAAAAAAAAAATATCGAATTAGTCTCATTTTCACACAGAAAATATGAGGGTTAATGGGTTAATCTCCTGGGGAGATTCCAATTGGATGCAAGAGGAAACTTTTTCATGATGAGAACAATCAGCCATTGTAATGATCTCCTGAGGGAAGTGGTAGACTCCCCAAAACTGGACACTTTTAAGATTCAGTGGGGCAGGGTACTGGGACATCAAGTCTAGGTAATGCTTTGCCAAGAAAGGTTGGATCGTATGATCCTTGAGATCCCTTCCAACCTGGGATTCTATGATCCAGTTTAGTACTCTGTTAATGTTCACTGTTGAGCTATCGTGTTGACTAAGCTGCTACAATGAAGGCATCAGTAAAGAATCTGTTATATCTTATTCACCTCTTTCCAATTTATCATATGTCGCTAGTTTAAAAGTCTGTTCTCAAATGGGTGGGTCATGGTGAAATGAAATTTATGCTTTGCAATCCCGCTGTGTTGGCTGTGCAACTTGAGTAAAGGCTCTGGCTCTGGCATTGCTTTCCCCCATCTTCCCTTCACGTCCTTTTAAAAGCAATTAGATCATACGGCCTTTCCAGGCATGAAAGATATGTTTAAGTTACATCATCTTTAAACATTCAGCCACAAAACATTTTTATTTCAGTAAATCAATGTGAGATTTCTCTTTTTCAATAGTTAATATTTTAATTCAGTGAACTGTGTTATGGTATGAAATACTAGAGTTGGTTATAAGTTCAATGATATATGGGGATTCACTGGAATTTTGTATTCTCATTTGAAGAATTCAGGGAGTGTAATTGCTTACTTTTATTTATAGATGTGGCTAGATTGCTCTACAAACACAGTAGAGCATTTGCCATCTAAAAAGTTTAGGGAAAGGTATTTTGTCTTCTCTGTGGCTGTGTTTTTAATTTTCATCCAGCCACCTCTGCTTATCAGAAAGCAAAAATCAGGTAAAAAGCAGGGTTTTTTCCAGGGTTTCTGGAGGATCCACCAGTATAAACCTTGATTCTTTCAAGTGACCATGTCTAAATAGTGAGAGAAGTAGAGGGAAGACCAAAGAGGCTGAAAGAACTAAAAGCCCCAAATTAATAGATCTGTTCAATGTAGAACAGCACCATCACAGAGGAAATTCCAGTCATCATTTTTAGCTGTGATGCTCCAGCAGGATCCTAACTGCTTGATACCCAGGCAGCTCTCGTGTCTCTGTCCTGGGCCTCTCAGCAGTGTAGGGCAGAAGCACCCGAAATCTACTTGCAAATGCTGCAAAATGTGTCTGGAATATTGTTTCATTTCAATGAGAGATTTCTTAATCAGCTTCACTGGGCTAATTATAGCCAGATTTTCTCTCTCCCCCACATGCTGTCTCCTCTGCTTTTGTCTAGACCATGAAAAATGGCAACAGTTTTATACCAACTGATGCAGTAATGCTGACAAGTTTGTACAGGTACCATATGATAAATGGGCAAATGTTTGCAAACTGGTCAAGACACCATAGGTATTTCCTCCATCCATGTGGCTGAAGGCTTAAGGGTTTTTTCCTTTCCCTTTTTTTTCTCATATTTGTTTTATGCTATCATCACAGTTATGGCTTAAGTCAGATTTCAAGTGATTCATCAGTGTCACAGTTTGGGTCCGTGACACAGGGATCCCTATCACAGGACTGAACAAATTCTGAGCTTATACTTCAGCCTGCTGCTCATAACATAAAAGTATTCTTCCTTAAGTCTAAAGAAGTTGGTGAAACCTATTAGATTCATGAAGTAGAACAGGAAAGAGCAGGGGCTCTGAATTTTCTTGCTCTCCTGGGCAAAGGGCACAAAGTTTGCAAAGAGTATTAGAGGGAGCTATGAGAAAAACTGAATGATGGACCAATGATGAGACATGCATGAGACCCTTCCCTGAGGGAAGAAGATAACTTTATGGTCCTTATGAATTTAGGAGAAAGTAGAATATTTTATTCATGCAAGGTGGAGAATTTTGAGTCAGCTGGAGAACCACGCTGCCCAGCACTGGAGAAACTGAGTCATCAACCGTATCTGGAGATAGGAGAAATGAGGAATACTCTCACAGGGGAAGTGAAATTTTTTTGGATGAAGAATGTATCTGGAAGTCTTCCACCTATCTCCCATCCTCACATGCTTTTGTCACTAGTAGGAATACCTGAGGAATAAGATCCCCATCAGAATGTGCACAGAATATCATGAGGAAGTGCATGTTTTATGACAATTTTAGTTATATACAAGTCATCATCTAGAAAGCATCTCCAAGTGAAAATACAATACTTAATGCACACAGAAGGGATTACATCCGCCACTGAGCTTCCATCATACCGTTACCACAATCTCGCTGAGTAATCCTTCCTACGTACCGTCTATCTCTGACTTCATCTCAAGTTGTCCCACTCCCAGAAGTGCAGTCTTAGCAGTCTGCCTGGCTGATTATCTCATGATGACTTTGCAGAGGATCCCACTCCAAAGTCACATCTCACAAACACAAGTGGAGAATACCAGCTGCTGATCTGCAATACTGTGACAGACATAGAAACAAATATGCTATCTGGCACTGTCTCAAACTAGTGAGAGCCTGCTGGATTACATCTGATATCCTTAAAGTCCACTCGTAAATTGGTTATGAACTGTCCTTGTGCATCAGGAATAGCTTAGTAGTCAGCAGTCATGTTCTGAATGGACTCAAGGTGAAACTCCACAAAAATGTGTTGTTACAAGTCCAGTGCCACTGTGGCAAAACCATCAATTACTGTAAACATGTCAGCGTCCAGAGGAAAATGGCTCAGGAGCAGATGGAGCAAAACTGGTCGTTAGCCGTCTTTGTCATGTCAACATCCAGAAGTGCCCCTGGAATGCAGTCACTTGGGATGGGCTATATTATAGACCAGAAGTCTATATCCAAGTAGTCATGCAGGCTTTCTTTATAGTTAGTGAAGAGTAACAGGCACTGGTAAGGCATGGTTCTGCTCATCCTGCAGTCGTTTCCCAAAATATCAGATTAATCCAAAATATTACCAGATGGCTTCTTGGAATTGTTTGCTTACGAGTGTACAGAGATACTAATGTGGTTGCCCAGTTGCACCATAGACAGCTGGAGTCAAAAGACATCAATCTTGTCTCCAAATTTTTGAGTTGGAGGCAAAAAATGGAGGGTGTGTTTTTTCTGTTCACAGGATAGAGATTTTCTGTACCATTTATAGCTGTTCCTCCAACCTCTGCATTGCTCACCTTCAGTGAACCCCTCTAGTTCACTGCCAGCTCTCATCCTAAGAAGAAAACACTCTGCTCACCTTCCTGTGGTGCTCACCACATAACAAGCAATGTAGTGCAAAGAAGTGTGTTACCAGCCTCCTGAACATACCCTAGTCTGTATCTCCATAGGACCCCTCTCTAAATGGCCTTAAAATTCTTGCTGAATCAGACAGGGGTAAGGTCATTTGGGTCTGCCAATCGGCGGTTTCTTGGGGAAGAGGAAGGAGTAACATTCAAAGGGACAATGTGGAGCTGCTTGGACACCAGTGTACAGGCTGCATCAGTCACTCAGCATTGTTAGAGGATAGAAAAACCTGTCCAGGTCAGAAGAAACCCGTTGTGACTTACCTGCCCTGAGCCACAATGCTCAGCTGGGGGTGCTATGGGAATCTCTCCTGATAGAGGCAGACTTAGTCCCTTGAATGCAGACTCATTCTTGCAAGGCTTTTCCATCATGTTGGAAAAATGGCTGCTTCATGAATCAAACTTGATTATTACCTTTATTACAAGGTGGAGCAGTGTCAGATTTGTCTTTGGCTTGGGAGCTTGCCAAGCGATGATGAGAGTTTTGGGCTCTGTTAGACAATTTTTCTACCCCCAGCCATGTGTATACATGAAGCTATGCCAACAGACAGAACCAAGGAACCTGGAAGAGGGTTTTGGTTCTTTTTTTTATTTCTCTTTTTTCCTGGGGAAAAAAAAAAAAAAAAAAGAAATTTTGGGAGCTTTGTGTTTTATAGCTATCAGTTTGCAGCCTGTCTCTGGGCAGTCTTTGAGTGACAAAATCTACTGACAGCAAACAGTGCCGCTGCTCGAGTCTGCTTGAGGAAATGGGCTCCTTGGAGTCAGTACAATCAATTGATGCAAAATGAGATAACCTAGTTTCAAGACTGCTGGATCGGTAAAAGAAAATAAAAAGAGTTAGGGAAAAACAAAACACAAAACTGCTAATCTCATGCCAGGTAAAAAGAAAGTAGTTCATAATCTCATTTCAATAAAAGGCACATATAGAGAGTGTGCAGGTTGTTAATCTGATGAAGGCAAAAGCTGTGTGCAGAGAAAAATCCCCGAGCATTGCCAGCAGAAACAATCTGAGAAGAGTTTTGTTTGAAGGGATGTGGGGCTATCACACATTCCTGGCCAGTGCTCTGAAAGGGTGCACTAGGATATGACACTGCCCAAATGTGATACATTTCTCCTCTGACAGCCCAGAAACCTGCCAATGGTACTGATGCTCTTGTGATCTATTGCAGCCTGTCTCTCTCATATTCTGTTTTTCCCAGTCCTATATCTTAAAAAAATATATTCTGACTATTAGTAGTGGCTTGGTTAACAAAAGATGACAAGAATCTGTGAGTTCCTCTTATAAATGTCTGAAATTGGTGTTTTTTTCTTCAGAATAGCTGAAAAGGAAAAAAGTACAGTCAAATGTATGGTGTAGCACTCTTTTAACGCAAAGCTACACACTGTGCTGTTACTTCTGTTTGCTGGGTAGGAGATAATGCTGTCTTCTCTGTGCATGATTTTCTTTGAAACCCACTACACAACATTTAACAGAAGGCGTTAGTATAATCTGTGTTTTGCATAAGGGATGTCATCACATTGCGGAGCAACAAAGTTCCTTTGAAAAAAAAAAGAGGGGGGAGGATTTTTATTTTTTTTTTTTTGAAGTAGCTTAGTAGCTGAACAGGGCAAAAATTACCATAAAGCAACTGCAGCATCCTCAGAAATGTCCTTAATGCTGTTTGCATTTATTCTTAAGTGTCTGCACTAACATTTGCATCTTTGCTGTTTCTCAAAGCAGCATTGTAGGCAGTAGAAATAGCAGCAGTCTCTTGGCTGGGCTCCTGTCCCTTGGGAAGCCCCAGCTACTATTATGTCAGTATGTTTCCCCAGTGCCTTGTGAAGGCTTACACAAAAAGCAAACTCAGAAAGTGCATTTCTCTCCCCATCCCCAGCTCAGCTGTTAAGACAGACTGATTTTTTTGCTTTAAACCCCAATCCTAAAGTAACCTAGGATGCTACTACTACCTACCTACCTGAAATTAATTAGGGTTGGAAGTTTGTCCATGGTGCTTACTTTTTTCATCATCTCATTAAAAATGTAAACCTTGCTTTTAATAATTCTCACTTGGTTTTGTTTGTTTGTTTGTTTTGCTCCTTTTAGAAAAACAGCTGACTGCTAGCAACTGCTTAGGAATATTAGCCATGGCTGAAGCCATGCAGTGCACTGAACTATACAACATGGCCAAAGCGTATGCCCTGCAAATTTTCCCAGAGGTGGCAAACCAAGAAGAGATCCTTAATATCTCAAAAGATGACTTTATTTCCTACATGTCCAATGACAGCCTGAACACCAAAGCAGAGGAACTGGTGTATGAAACAGTGATAAAATGGATTAAGAAGGACGCTGCAATCAGAGCTCAGGTAAAAATAATCCTAGCAGCCTCACTCTGCTCCCTTCCCATGAATGCGTCTTTTAAAATAGAAACTATCCCCATGCAATTTTAAACATGAGGGTGCATAGGAGATGGGATGGGCAGTTTAGATAAAAAAGGGAAAGGAATGCAGGCTATGCACAAAATGTATGTAGTTTCCAATCTAATCCTCATATCTGATTTATTAGAATCAAAATCTAGTTTGTGACATGCATGGTACAAAACTAGGGCCTCGAGTTCTTGGCTGCAGACTTGGTCAGAGATAAATCAGGAAGGATTAGAATTGTGTGAGATGCTGTTTTAAGAAGGGGGTGCATTTTAGTAACAGTGGGAAATGAAAATCTGTCAGAAAAATCTGTATTTCTTTTGATGCCACATACTGAATTGTAACTTCAGTACATGAAGAGAAAGATTCCATATCTTTATTGGCTGCTTAGATAAGCCCCTGGGTATTATATATTTATTAGAGTTAGCCTTTCCTCAACCATATGAGCTATGCAGTTTGCTCTTGACTAAAGAAAGTGGGTGTATTACTTTACCCAGCACTGTCTCCAAATAAAAGCTGGAAGCAATGACTGTTAGGAGGCTGGTGATTGTCCTTGGGACCAGAAGGCATCCCTGGTGATATTTAAAAACCTTCCACTTGCCTTCAGTGCAGCTCTTGCAAGTCGGCTTTTGTGGGTAATAAATTGTGATGGTCTGAATGCCAAACCTCTCCATTTGGAGGCCAGTTCTCCCCACAGACCCCAGGAGGAGAAGGTTTTTTTTCTCCTTTCCCCTCCTTTGGAGACCAGAGTTGCTGGCCTATTCTGGATTTGTTGATCCCCGGTCACAGTTTTGGCTGATTTAAGAAGGACAGTCCAGTTGTTTATGGACAAGATTGGGACTCAGGAAAATACTTGGCCACACGTCCACATCACGAAAGGCTGTACCTTCTTGATTTAAATGGGAATTCAAGCACCTAGATGCACAGTAGGATATTAAATGTGCCATTGGATAGATTAGAGCATTAAGGATAGTGGGATACTCCACCACCGGCTTAGCCCCTGGCCCCTGACAGCAGCCTGCAGCCCCCAGGGCCTTTCTCCAAACTTGTTCTG